AGAGCAGGGAGCCCGATGTGGGACTCGATCCCGGGACTCCAGGATCATGACCTGAGCTGAAGACAGTCGCTTAACCGACTGAGCCACCCAGGCGCCCTCTTACTTGACATTTTAATAAAATAAACCTTACTCTAGTTATGCTTTCTAAAGAATTTTATTGAAGTTTGTTTCTAGAAAAGGAAGTGAATATTGGCTGGTCTGTTTAGTTATTTGCTAAGTAGCTATTATGTATCTACTGTGTGCCAGGCATTGTGCTGCAAATGCAGTGATAAGTAAGAGAGGCATAGGCCGTGCTTTCATAAAGTTTACATTCTAAGGGGGCGAGACATTGATCAAGTAGTCACCCAGTGTGGAAGCACAACGGGTTCTGGAGGCATATGGTAAATGGTAAAGGGCCTGAAACTAGCTTTGACTCTGGGAATATTTTAAGTTGAGAATTGAAATATAAGTAGTTGTTGGCTTAGGCTAGGTGAGTGTTAAAGCATTGCTGGCAAATTGGACAGCATGAGGGAAAGCCAGTATGACTGTAGCGGAGTGAGTCAGGAGGACAGTATTATAAAATGTGGAAGGGCGGGCAGTAGGCAGGGTATATTCCAAGGAAAAGGAACATAGTTTATGGAAATTGACTTTCAGGTTTTGGGGCAGTTCAAGGGATCAACTATATGACCATTTTAATGGAGCCCTATTTTACCTACTTCCATGTTGGTTGATCTTTAATGTCCATTGTATCCCAGTCTTTCTCCTGGTGACAGTGATAGGTGTGGGGAGGTGTTTTTCATTGTCAGATAGTTGAAGCATCATATTTATGTTTCTTGAATAAACCTTTGTTAAATTGATTAGGTACATGTACATGAACTGCTTTGGAGATTGTTATTTTCATTAATTTTTTTAAAAATAAGGTGTACCTGGAAACACAGTTGTGCTTTTTGCCATTAAGAACTATTTCTTGTTCTAGGGTGAATTTGTGAATGAGTATGTGGGTGAGTTAATAGATGAAGAAGAGTGCAGAGCTCGAATCCGTTATGCCCAAGAACATGATATCACTAATTTCTATATGCTTACTCTAGACAAAGTAAGTGTTATTTCCATTGTTATAAGATTGTGAAATTGATATTGTCCCAGCCATAGTGTTTGTAGGCATGTAATTCACTGCCCAAAACAGCGTCTTTCCCTTATATTTGTAGGGTTTGCTTTGTCGAGGTTCTGGAGTAGCTAAATTTGCTCATTTCTGGCTACACATCCCTTGCCAGAGTCAACAGAGCTACTGTTTGCATTCTTTTTGAACTGTCCTATACAAGTTGGGTATTATGTCTTTTAGTATTTTTCCTATAAGATTAAAACCTGAAGCCAGCCAAGTAAATAATCATTCTTTCATCCTTTTATTTTACAGATTGAGAAACTGATTTGTTAATATTTAGTTCATTGACAAGGTCATATAAATTGTAGAACTCAGCCTCTGAACCCGTCATCTTTCCAATCATAGGAATTTGCTGATGAGTTTCATTTCTTTGGTGCCTAGAATTATATTTGGGACTCATTCCTAATTCCAGCATCCTAATGTGTTTATTTTCTGTGCATTTGACATTCTTCGTTGTACCTGAATATTAAGGTCTGCTAGCAATCCCCGACCCCCTTCCATTGACTATTATAACAGAATTCTTTCCTGGTGTGAAACTTCATGAACATTTATTAAGTTGAACCCTTTGGTTTGTGAGATTGTCACCTCCAGATATTCAGATCTTCATTTGGGATGGGGTCTCAACATCAGTATTAAAAACTCCTTAGCTGATTTCTAATGGGTAGCCCCAGGGCTCAGGACCACCAAATTGAGACGGTGGGGCAAGCTGCCGCTTCTAGGGCTGTGGTCCTCAAACTTCAGCATATATCAGAATTACCTAGTAGGCTTGTTATAACACGGATTGCTGGGCCCCACCTCAGAGTTTCTGCTTTTAGTATATCTGAAGTGCAGCTCAAGAATTCGTATTTCCAACAAATAATAGATATGGTGCTAGTGATGGATTAGTGACTACACTTTGAGAACCACTCCTGGGAGAGTCAAATTATACAAATAGGAACTCTAGCTTGTTAGAATATATAGGAAGTATCTGATGAGCATCATCTCTTGGAATTCTAGGACCGGATCATTGATGCTGGTCCTAAAGGAAACTATGCTCGGTTCATGAATCATTGCTGCCAGCCCAACTGTGAAACACAGAAATGGTCTGTGAATGGAGATACTCGTGTTGGCCTTTTTGCCCTGAGTGACATTAAAGCAGGTAAGAATCAGTTAAGGATTCTGGAGCTAAGAAAGGAATTTCAGGTTTTATCATCTAAACATCCCATATGTCCTATAATCCAAAATGAGGTCTGCAAACTCTTGGGAATACAGAAAAGACTTTCCAGGTGGTACTTGGCGTGGAATATTTTTGGTGGTGATTGTGGTATGGCAAAATATACATAACATAAAGTTTATCATTTAACCATTTTTTAATTGTACAGTTTTGTGGCAGTAGGTCCATTCACCTTGTTCAGCTGACACCTCCATCCATCTCTTTAACCCTTTCATCTTCCCCAAGTGAAGCTCTGTATCTATTAAATGCTAATTCCCCATTTTCTCTCCCCTCAGCCCCTGGCACCACTGCCAGACACTATTCCAAGGATATTATCATATTTAATCCTTGTAAAAATGTTGTGAAGTATGTGGTATTATATACCTGTGTTACTTGGATTCTTGGGTCTGGCACCTCTAACCACCCTGGGGTCGTGTCCTGTGTATTAATTACTCAGATGTTATCCAGGCCCATAACGTCAGTCCTTCTATCTCTCCTGGCTGCTTTCAGTACATTTGTACTTGTAACTTAAGTCTTTGTCCATGGTGATAGATTCCTCTACCATTTCTAGCCACAAATTTTTCTTCTCTCTTTTCCCATATTCACTTAGCTCAAGCAGCATGGTATGGGAATTCACAGACCTTGTTCTTGTTCTCACTTGACTTCCAGTCTGCATGGGTGGAATGAGAGGAACGAGACAGAAAGCTCAGTGCTATGCAGAGTTTCTATGGAGCTGCAGCCTTGACAGATGGAATCAGAACTTTTCAGCTTGCTCTCTTTACTCATTCAGCTTCATGTATTCTTCAATACCTGTTATACTTTCTACCACATGTGTCATACTCCTTGTTTATCTTTTCTCCAATGCTCTTTCATCCCCATAAGTGCAGACCTCAAGGACTGTTGTATATTGGGCTCTTTTCTAGAATGGTATAAGGCTTTCCTTTATGCACACCAATACCTTCTTATTTATCCCTTGTGCGGTTGTGTTTACATAGTGGATGGTGAGTAAGCAGTAGGTTATGTCAGTATCCTGCTATCTTATATTTGTGTATATGGTTGAGTTGTATTATAAGCACATTAAATTAATGAAAATTCAGTTATGTACTCATAAATTGTTTAATAAGAAAGGAATAAAGTGAGTAGAATTATCTATCATTCAGTGCAGTATTTCGCCGTAAATGTGAGAGGGGAGACAGAACCCTCCTCTTACCTTGGTCAGTCTTGGTTCCTGCAAGTTCCTTGCAGTGTGAACTTCTCACCAGGCCATGAGTGATTCTAGTTTTTGTACCATTTGGACCCCTAAATGTAAGGTAGCTGATTTATAATTTGCTTAGCTGAATAAACAAATAATGATCTATATTAATCCAATATTAGATGAAAAACTATATATATCAGTTAATCTCAATGATGGAAGATAGGTCAGTCTGCAATGGGAAATCTTCTAAGATTTGGTCATTTTGACCAAATGATTATCACTGTACACGTTAATGGTGAACCATTACCCCGACCCAGAGTTAATCTCTTTTTATACATATATAAAATTCTTGTGTTTGTTAGGCCCTCCCTAATGTGCTTTAAATTTGAATGGTTGTGTGTTTTATTTCCTCTCTTAGTTTTGAGAAGATGCACTTTTGACAGAAAGGGGACAATTTGTACTTTAAATCTGTACATCTCTTTTTAAAGTTTACAAATTACTGCTGTGTGCATTATGTCCTATTCTCTAAATATGCTTGTGTGGTTGTTGTTTCTCCATTTAACAAATGTACTCAGGGCTCAAATCACCCAGCTAGACTGTGGTAACAGGGATATAAAGCCAGGGCCCAAGTCTATGGTATAGAGTTCTCTAGTATTACTCTGTATTGAGATGTCTCTCCCTTAAGTTCTGCTAGATTTGGCACAGATCAACAGGTTTTCTTCATACTTGCATTCCCAGTGCCTAGCACATCAGTGTATACAGGTGAGTTGTTGTTTGTTTTGGTAATGAATTAATATATTTTGAATCTGATTAGGAAACACAAAACAACTTGGGATAATTAACATCTCTACAGTAAAGGTTATTTTAAATATTACTTGTTAACCTGTATAAGTTTTTCTGTTACTAAGTTGTATTTGCTGATTAATAATATTATAGGATTCGAATTTATTAGTATTTCATTAATATAGTGGGATTAGAGTTAATAAATCCCTTCTATCCTCTGAAAAATCTGTTCTCTTGCAAGTCCATATCCTTTGTGATTAATACAGAATAATATAATTAAAACCATAGATGTTAATATTTTCATGGTCTTTTATGCAGGCACTGAACTTACCTTCAACTACAACCTAGAATGTCTTGGGAATGGAAAGACTGTTTGCAAATGTGGAGCCCCAAACTGCAGTGGCTTTTTGGGTGTAAGGCCAAAGGTACCTTCCAAATGTTTCCATCGGGAATAATGGTGTGGTCCTCCCTCCCTAACCAGTGGCATAGCTGACTTTTTAAGATGTCTCTTTGGAATAATGACATTGGATAGTTGTTGGTAGGGCTACTGGCACTTAACTAAGCATTCTGATGGTCAGTTTGGTTATTCAAGAGCAGATCTGTGGGTGTTGTTGAATTTCTTTTGAGCAGTCTGACTTCTAATTGGTGATACCTTTCTAGCTAAAAAAGCTGTAAGATAGGAATCCATAAAGTAGGTTACTTCCTATGTCTTTATTGGTCTCAGCTCATCTCACTCACATTTCCTAATCTTCTTAGATTCTTGGTATCTGTGTCTCCCTCTCTTCCTCTCTTTGTCTTTTTAAAGATCTCAAAGAATCCAATATTGAACAGAAGATTCTAAATGTAGTATAACACTTGTAGATAAACATAGGACCCTTAATCTTATCTTAAAGTGTAAGCATTGTTGTGTCTTACTGTCTGGGTTTTTGTGTGCATTTTAACTGGCTTATAATTCTGTAAAGAATTACTTACAAGTCTGTATCCTGCATTTCTTAAATATTATAAAATCTTTTTCCTTACTGTCACATAGTCTTTTTAACCATCGTCTCTAAGTGACTTAATTTTTTTATATAATGGATGGACCATAATAGATGAACGTGCATCCAGATTTTTCTATCCTGAGTTACAGCACACTAAAAATTGCAGTTTAATTTTGATGAAAAATACACAGTGACTCCAATTGGGTATTTCCCATTATGCTTTTTTGATTTGGAAGTCTATCTCTTATTAAGAACTGAAAAATGCAAATTAGCACAGAAACCAATAACTAAAGGGGGAGTGACCTTTTTAATTTTTTTTCTTAAAGATTTTATTTATTTGACAGAGAGGGAGAGAGCATAAGCAGGGAGAGTGGCAGGCAGGGGGAGAGGGGAGAAGCAGGCTCCCCACAGAGCAGGGAGCCCGACGTGGGGCTCGATCCCAGGACCCCGGGTTGTGACCTGAGCCAAAGGCAGTTGCTTAACCGACTGAGCCACTCAAGCGCCCCAGGAGTAATCATTTTGAGCAAAAACACACGGAGATGATGAACACCCCCAATTATTCTTTTATTAAATAAGGAAAATTATGTTTATATTTTATTGAGTTTTTTTTTCTTTAGTCAGTTGGTTAAATGGTCTTGTTCCTTAAGGTGTCCAGTTTATTTATTACCTATAAATCAAAATAGTAACTGAGTTTAACCTAAGTTTAATGGTGTTACATTCACTAGGGATGTCAGTTTTTGCATCCTTAACATCTATGTAGTATTTCACACATGAATCAGTGAAAGAGAAATTTGAGGGCAGAAGTTTAGAAATGGGAGATCACTGAGGGATAGTAATAGATCAGATTGATCCTGGATGTTTCTAGTCCAAGATAAATGTGATGAAACGCATGGGGTTTGGTAAGTGTGGGCTGCAGGGATCATGGAGGAGACCTGCTGGCTGCACCAGGATCTGTCTTTGGGAGTGGTGGATATGAACCTAATTTGATATAGATGAAGGGCACATCGCTTATTGAGGGCAAGGACCATGAATTAGTTTTCTGTGCCTTCCTAGCATGTGACTCTTAAGGTGTCCAGTGAAGGTTTATTGAATAAAGAAATGTGTGTGCACACACAAACATACACACCTAGACAAACACAAAAATAAAACGTAATGAAAGGGTAACGTTAACCTTTAACACTAGCCTTGTGTGTTAACAAAAATAAGTTCATTTTTCTTTTATTTCATTCAGGTGGCAGGAGTAGTTGATAGAAAAGTTAGAATTAATGCAACCATTTATTGGGTACCTATGATGTGCGAGGTGCCTTTCCTGCATTTTCTCCTATCTTTACAATAGTCTATGAGGACTGTCTCTTCCCAGAGGAGAGACTGAGGCTCAGAGAGGATAGTTAATCTGGTCAAGATCACACAACTAATATATCGACAGAATGCTTACTGCTCAATATCTGACCTCTAGAATCAACCCATTGCCACAGAAGAAAAGTCAAAGAAATTCAAGAAGAAGCAACAGGGGAAGCGCAGGACCCAGGGTGAAATCACAAAGGAGAGAGAGGATGAATGTTTCAGCTGTGGGGATGCTGGCCAGCTCGTCTCCTGTAAGAAGCCAGGCTGCCCAAAAGTTTACCACGCTGACTGTCTAAATCTAACCAAGCGACCAGCAGGTTGGTGTCAAAATCCATGTAGAGTGCTCTTTGTTCTCTGCCAGAATTGTCAGAGCCCTTGGTCTTCCCATGCATAATGTTGAAGGGGGTATGGTTCATGTTCTCATTCTGGAAATAAAGGCTTTGGAATCCTAGGTTATAGAGAAGGGAACAGAAACTCATTATATGTCAAGCACTTTATTTACATTTATGTTATGTTATTTTATCCTCCCAGCAACCCATAAAGATGAGACCTTTTCACCTTCCCATGATGCAGATGAGGAAACTGAGAGTCCAGTTTGGTGAGATGACTTGTCACAATAGAGCATGTAGATGGAGGAGTTGGATTGAAAGCCAGGTTTTCTGACTTCAAGGCCACTAAATCATGTTTCCTTTCTAAAGAAAGAGAGGTTGAGATAGCATGGAGTTTGGGGTTATTCCGGTCAGTGAGGTGTGGACTAGATACCCTGTACTAGACACCCTTTGAGCTCCCTTCACCCACTCCCTTATGAAGGAGAGGCAGCTCCATCTACTGACACATGAGAGAGCTGCTTGGGCAGATAGAGTGTCAGGAATTTGTGGCTGGAGAAGCTGGCTTTTTTTTTTTTTTTTTTTTTTAAGATTTTATTTATTTGAGAGAATGAGAGAGTGAGAGAGCACATGAGAGGGGGAGGGGCAAAAGGAGAAGCAGACTCCCCGCTGAGCAGGGAGCCCAATGCGGGACTCGATCTTGGGACTCCAGGATCATGACCTGAGCCGAAGGCAGTTGTTTAACCAACTGAGCCACCCAGGTGCCCAAGTTGCTAACTTTTGAGTGGTGATTTGGAGTTAGAAGAGTTTGGGGGGACTTGGATATGTGGTCTGTTTTGTTGACAGAGGCAAGAAAGCAGTAGGGAGCCACTTCAGCTGAGGAGATTAAACATCACCAGTAGCCTGCTCTCAGGAATTGCAGAGAGAAAACTTTGGGGTGGGAATGAGAGGAGTTTGTCCCTGAACTAGCTTTCCTTCAATGTATGGTTGCCAGAGAAATAAAATTATAGAAAAGGAGGTAGTGTGAGGGCAGGACCACAGCAGGACTTGTCAGTGCCAGGAAGTGGAAAAGGAGAATTGTTTCAGAATCAATAGCTCAGGATTGTAGCTGGCACAGGCTGCAATGGAACTCATCTTGACTAGGAGCCAGGAGTCAGGACTAGCATAGTTTATTTGGAAACTATGAGCCGGGGTGAAAACACCATCCACGGCAGAGACTCTTCAGGTGTCATGAAATGGGAGCAAATAGATGGTAGGTCAGGGTCTTTTCCACTGGTTCTGTGTGGACTGTACAGGTAAAATTTGTGCTAGTTGCAAGATTTGAAACTGAGCAAAGGAAAATCCGCTCAGTTTTTCACATTTGTATATCTGCTCCCTGTTCCTAAATATAACCAAATAAGCAGAAGTTTAAATAGCCGAGATTATCCCTTTAGAGTTGAATATTGAAAGGCTATATTAGACAAATGGAGTTTGCAAAACTGTGGAAGTAGTATCTTCACATTCTATCTAAGGGGAGCTTTGGGTTTTTTCCCCCTTGCTAGAAATAGTCCTAGAAATAAGAAATTACTCCTGCCTGTATATTTAGTTGATACTCAGTTGCTACTTGTACTTGGCTTTTATTTTTATGTGTTGTACGGGAGACTCAGATTCTGGGGCAGGGGAGGTGTCAGGTGAGTGGCATGAGCTCTCTGCAGAAGGTGGCAGTTTGAAATCACTCCTTTGACCCAGGCTCAGGGCCATGACTCATTTCATGCACCTTGCTTGTTTTCCTAAGCGTTTGTTTCATATCTGTGTTTTTAGGGAAATGGGAGTGTCCTTGGCATCAGTGTGACATCTGTGGGAAGGAAGCAGCCTCCTTCTGTGAGATGTGTCCCAGCTCCTTTTGTAAGCAGCATCGGGAAGGGATGCTCTTCATCTCCAAATTGGATGGGCGTTTGTCTTGTACTGAGCATGACCCCTGTGGGCCCAACCCTCTGGAACCTGGGGAGATCCGTGAGTATGTGCCTCCCCCAGTACCGCTGCCTCCAGGCCCTGGCACTCACCTGGCAGAGCATTCATCAGGAGTGGCTGCTCAGGGGCCCAAACTGTTGGATAAGCTGCCTGCTGACACCAACCAGACACTGTCACTGTCCAAAAAAGCTCTGGCAGGGACTTGTCAGAGGCCACCGCTTCCTGAAAGACCTTCTGACAGAACTGACTCCAGGCCCCAGCCTGTAGATAGGGTCAGGGACCTTGCTGGGTCGGGGACCAAACCCCAGTCCTTGGTATCCAGCCAGAAGCCATTGGACAGGCCACCTGCAGTGGCAGGACCAAGACCCCAACTATCTGACAAACCCTCTTCAGTGACTGGCGTAAGCTCCTCATCCTCAGTCAGGTCCCAACCACTGGAAAGACCTCTGGGGACAGCTGACCCAAGGCTGGATAAATCCATAGGTGCTGCCAGCCCAAGGCCCCAGTCACTGGAGAAAACCCCAGTCCCTACTGGCCTGAGACTTCCACCGCCAGACAGACTGCTAGTCACCAGCGGTCCCAAGCCCCAGACTTCAGACAGGCCCCCAGACAAATCCCATGCTTCTTTGTCCCAGAGACTCCCACCTCCTGACAAAGTACTATCAGCTGTGGTCCAGACCCTGGTAGCTAAAGAAAAAGCACTGAGGCCCGTGGACCAGAATACTCAGTCAAAAAATAGAGCTGCTTTGGTGATGGATCTCATAGACCTAACTCCTCACCAGAAAGAACGGGCTGCTTCACCTCATGAGGTCACACCACAGGTTGATGAGAAGATGCCAGTGTTGGAGTCAAGCTCGTGGACTGCCAGCAAAGGTCTGGGGCAGATGCCGCGAGCTGTAGAGAGAGGCAGCGTGTCAGATCCTGTCCTTCAGCCACCGGGGAAAGCAGCAGTCCCTTCGGAGCACTCCTGGCAAGCAGTTAAATCACTCACCCAGGCGAGACTTCTCTCTCAGCCCCCTGCCAAGGCTTTTTTATATGAGCCAACAACTCAGGCCTCAGGAAGAGCACCTGCAGGGCTGGAGCAGACACCAGGGCTTCCCAGCCAAGCACCAGGCCTGGTGAAGCAGGTGAAGCAGATGGCCGGAGGCCAGCAACTACCTGGACTTGCTGCCAAGAGTGGGCAGTCCTTCAGGCCTCTTGGGAAGGCCCCATCCTCCCTCTGTACTGAAGAGAAGAAGTTGGCAACTGCAGAGCAGAGTCCCTGGGCCCTGGGAAAGGCCGCACCAGGGCCAGGGCTCTGGCCCATGGTGGCTGGACAGACAATACCACCATCTTGCTGGTCCTCTGGGAACACACAGACATTGGCACAGACTTGCTGGTCTCTTGGAAGAGGGCAAGACCCTAAACCAGAGCAAAATACACTTCCAGCTCTTAACCAGGCTCCTTCCAGTCACAAATGTGCAGAGTCAGAACAGAAGTAATATGAGTAAATGTCACATGACCAGACCAGCTGCCCCCAGGGTTCTTGGGGAAGGGAAATCATCTTTCTTTTCCCCTCTTAAAAAACAGACCCCACCACTTTTCCACTGTTACTCTTTCCTTATATCCCAACACTCAGAACTCTTGTGACATTAGCCAGTGGGGACATGTGGTTGTGTAAACCATGTATGGAAATCCAAGTGGGCCCCAGCCAAGGAGACAGACAGACTTGGGTCTTTTTCCTCCAACCTTTACACATGGTAACTTGAAATAAAAAGTCCACTCTGGAGTCAAGCATGGGATTCAATTCCACTGGTCAGGTTGGAAGGTAGAGGGGCTCTCGAAGTTATTTCTCTAGCCCTACAGAGCCCCACTGAGGGCACCTGATGAACACTTGGGAAGAACTGATACCAGTAGTGATTTTCTTGAGCATTCACATGTGCTAGGCCAGGTGCTAGTCACTGACAGGAGATACAGAGATAAGACCTGATCCCTGTGAGCCTAACATGCCTGCCTGGGTTCTCAGGCTGTTTTCATGAACCTTTGACCAGGAAATAGCAGGAAGTTCTGAGGGGCCCTGGGGCTCCAGACTCATTTTGTAATGTCCTTTATGGCCCCAGAAGTGGTTGTGTTGAGTAAGTGTCCCCTGGTTGGGTGTGCATGTGTGCGTGTGATGCACACACGCTCATGTGGAGGTCTCCGGTGGAGGGGGTGGGGGGGGTTGCATCAAGGCCAAGTGGAGCCGTTGGCTGGGCAGCTGCTGCTGCTTCTGTCTGGGCTGTGCAGAGTCTGAAAATCTGTCCTTGGCAGAGCAGCTGGTTGTGGGGGCTGGGCTCTACAAGGACATAGCTTTACCGAAGTATAAGAAGGCAATTGGCAAGCTTACCTTTCTTTCCTACCGATTTTCGTCCTTTTACATCAGCCCACCCCATGCCCGCCCCCCAAACACTCAGGTGCTTTCAGATTTCAGAGTCGGGCAGTGGACATAGGGAATCTCTGGCAAGCTCTGCGCTAGATCTACCACCAGCTCAGGGAGAGTGCCAGATTCTGATGGAAAATTCCTTCTCTTTTGATCCTTTGCCCTCTTACCTGAATGGAGGGAGTCCTCTCCTTCACTGGTGGATTCTACCACCCTATCCCTGAGAATTGCTGTGTTCTGTACTGAGAGCACCTGCCTGCTGACTTTGTTCAAAGGCAGGCCAGAGCCCTTCCCCTGTGACTGGTAAGATGTGGTGTTTAGAGCAATGTCCAGTCTGAGAGATGATTCCTCATAACTGCTGATTATCTGTTACTGCTGCCCTGAGCTGGGGCCCAAGGGCTGGGAAATCTGTTGGTGCTACCCTGCCCTACCATTCACCCAGCTCACCAACTGCCAACAGGAAGTGCTGTTTGGCCAGTTCCTTCCCATTCACTCACCCCTCCTTTGTCCCTAGACCAAACGTGTTTACCTCTCTGCTTTGCCAACTTAGCCAGCAGCTTTAGCCAACAGGCCATCTCCTGGCCCAGATGTCTCCTGGCCATTCTGTTTCAGTTATGGCTTTTACACCCTCAACAAGATTCTGTATTTTGTCCCAATTTCCTCCTCCTGAGTTCCTACTGAGGTTATCCACATCACTTCTAAGGAGGGAACAATAGTTATAGAAGCATTTGCGCTTTATATAAAGATTAAAAGAAGAATTTGCTTTTATTTCCCAAAGTCTGTCTCGGGTTGAGACACTTGAACTCAGGCAGAGGTACGAGGTTGGGCAGGGCTGTCCCGAGTCTAGGGGCCTATGTCTGCATCCCACTTAGACCTCGAAATCTCTGTAAATTCCACCTGCCTAGTTCTCCCCTTTTCATCCTATCTCTCTTCCCACATCATGAGAGAGGAAAAGTTCTTTGTTCAAAAGGAAGAAAAAACAAAGCATCTTATTTTCTTTTTTAAAAAATTTTAAACCATGGAAAAGATATTTTTAAAGAAATCCACCCAGAACATTAAAGTTCATTATATTAAGTATTTATCATGTGTGAGAATAATAAGTATATAACTGCAGCTAGTAGGTCCCTTTCCCTAATCTCTTAGGCTGTATGAGTAGGGTTTGCTTGGTGCCAGTCCTGTGCCCTTTTCTCTCCTGTCATCTGTAGTTGTGATCAGAAAAAGATATTCGCACTGCACTGTCAGAATCTCCTTTCACTATGTTGTGTGTTAAATTACCGTAGCTGTTTCATGAAATAAACTGTGAATTTGGGGGGGGGGTGTGTGTGTGTGCAGGCTATGTAAAAAAATTTAAGTGGAGAAGTTTGATCCTGAAATAGCTTCTCTGAAGTAGGCTTTGGTAGGTAATTGACTTGACAGCCGCTCTAGATATGTCTCACAGGACAAGGAGTGAGGGAAAGGTGGGCCATGAGTGGCCACTTTGTGGTTTTGTTTTGGTTCTTTCCATTCTACACCATTTACTGGAAACGTCCTTCCAGACCTGCCTGGGAAAACAACTTTTGAGCTGTGCTTAGTTTGGGGGAGAGGGTG